CACCAAGGTCTTTCTGCTAGCCATACATTCTTTCATTTTGTTTCGTTTTGTTCACCTTCAACTGCTCATTAACTGGCAGTGACCAGTCATTAACCACCACCACTAATGACCCCTGACTCAAAGAGAGGCCAAGAGAATGGCCAAGGAGAATGACTTCTCTGTTGTTGCTCTTCAGGGTGGTCCCTTTAGGATGGGTAGAGGGCAGCATGGCAGGAAAAAGTTCACCTTATGGTTTAATAAACCAGCATTCAAGTCTCCCTCTCTACGCCAGTGCAGCAGATAATAATAATAATAATAATAATAATAATAATAATAATATTGAATTGTCCTAGCCACTTATGGCAATGAGAGTCTTGGCCAAGCAGGTTTTAAAAAGTGGGTTGAAATGGGACTAAAATTTCAGAAGAGGCCATGTTTGTTACAAACTATGGCGGGGGGCACATGTGTTTCTATAGCAACCAAAGCAGTAAAAAGTATCCCAATGTAATCTCAATCAATTCAAAGCTATAGAACACAAGACAGAGAGAGAAAGAGAGAGAAATAAACAAATAAATAAATTGAGCTTGATTAAACTAACAATTTTTGAGATAGGAACCAAACTCTAGGCAGAGATATGGCCTTGTCTTGAAAATACAATATGATAGAATAATAATAATGATATTATTTAGAATAATAGTTTGCTATGACTCAAGGGTTCAAGGGCTGACTAAAGACAATGCTCCAAGTTAAGTTTGAACATCATAATTGTAGACATGGCACAAAAGTTTCAAAATCGGTCTTTGTGCAGTGATCTTGATCATCTCTTCTAGTACCTAATAGAATGACATGCATAAATTGAACAAACTGTCTCTCCTATACTGTTGGACAGCTCAAATCCGAATACTGCAAAACTAATTCCCATACAGTGTCATTTAAAGCAACAATTTAACTGATGATTAAGGTTTGAGGCAGCCTTGGATATGGCAGGTATGCAGAAAATCCAGGCAGGTTTGATTCAGCTGTCAGGAATAAAAATGTAGGGTTAAGCTTCCAAGTGTTAGAGCCCCTTCTCAAAATGTCTCAGTCTGATTTTATCACTCTGAACAGAAGCAAAAGATTGTGGAGGAAGTTTTTATTATTTCAACTGCCTGTTGAGCAAGTGACACCCTTGTCATGCTCCCCATTAGGAGATGGCCAGGGAGAAAGGGCAGGAGAAATTGCCAGCTGTCACCAGGGAGAGCTTTTGCTTTTCTAAATGAAATATTCAACACAGAAGGTATGAAATATGAGACACAGCAGCTTACTTAATTTGCTGACACCCAAGGCTAACCATGCATGCTGTGCTAGACACAGATTGACCTGTTAACTCCTTTGTCCACTGCCTGGCTCAGAGGCTAGGTTTCCTGAACACCTCTAAGTATCTCTCCCTATTTAAGCAACATGTTGTTGACAGCCAATTTATTGAAACATACATAAGCTTTCAGCTGCCCATTGTCTAACCTGGAAAAGACTTTGCAAGCTGAGGAGGAAAACAAAAATAATGTACTGGGCTTTAAAGAAGACAATGCTATCTTGCCTTTTAACAATTCTACAGTTCAAGGAACAGTACAATCTATGCAACCAAGGTTTGCCCTTCACTAGAACATTCACTTCCAGGGACAGCATAACTACATGTAACCTTAAATGTAAATAAAAACCGTTTGGGTTCATAGATTTGTGGTACAGCACAGATGAGAGAGGATACAGTTAAATGGCAGAACTACTCTTTACCCCACTCCTGAGGCCAAGATAGAATGAACTACCACTAGCATAGGTGAGGGAGGAGGGCAAATCCATCAAACACTCCCCTCCACTCTGATGTTGAGGATTCTCATTAGAGATGTATGAGCATCCCAAAAAGGAGGCGTGCATTTGCAGTGGGCAATGCAGATCTCCAATGGAGTATTCAATCCCAGCAGTGAGGGATTGAATTATGTTTTATTTTATTAATTTCAACAGTTTATATACTGCTTAACACCATAGGAAGAAGATAAGAGCACAAGAAGAGCCTGCTGGATCAGGCCACTGGTTCATCTAGTCCAGCATCCTGTTCTCATAATGGCCAACCAGATACCAGTGGGAAGTCTGAAAGCAGGAACGTAGCCATCATAGCTAGTAACTGTTGATAGTATTCTTCTCCATGAATTTATCTAATCATCTACTAATGCAATCTACTTTGGAGGTCATCACTGCCTCCTATGGGAGTGAGTTCCAGAGTTCATCTATTCACTGTGTGAATAAGTACTATTCCTTTATCTGTTCTGGATCTTCCAACGTTCAGCTTCACTGAATGTTCATGAGTTCTAGTGTTATGAGAGAAACTTTTCTCCATACAATACACGATTTTATAAACTTCTATCATGTCACCTCTTACTTGCCTTTTCCCTAAACTTCAAAATCCCAAACTCTGCAACTTTCCCTCATAGAGGAGTCACTCCATCCCCTTGATCATTTTAACTTCCTTTTCTTAAACTTTTCCAACTCTATAATAGCTTCTCTGAGGTGAGGTAACCAAAACTATACACAGTACTACAAATGTGGGTGCACCATAGTTTTTTTATAACAACATTATGATATCAGCAGTTTTATTGTCAATGCCTTTTGTCATGATATTTAGCACGGAATCTGACATTTTCGCAGCTGCCACACACTGTGTCAACATCTTCAATGAGCTATCCACTATGACCCCAAGGTCCAATTCCTGGTCATTGACCACTAGTTCAGACCCCTTAAACCTATATTTAAAACTGAGATTTCTTTTGTGGCAACATGCATCATTTTGCCCTTGCTTACACCGAATCACACCTGCCATTTTACTGTCCATTGGAGAAGTCCTTTTGGAACCTCTAAGTGGTGTACAGTAAGGTTACAAGATATGATAAAGATACAATAAGTTAAAATGAACTTTGACTGCACAGTGGGAAAATAAGGTTATTGTGTCAATTTTGCCACCAAGCATTATTTATTTGTTATTGCTTTTAAAGAAAAGAAAAGGGAATACCAGAAATAAGAGGTGACAGAAAATGTGGATATAGTAGTGTGTGTTGAATGTTGCAGGATGAGACTAAAGGTGGGTCCAGTATATGAAAAGGTTGAACACTATTGTCATATACAACGTCTTTACAGATGTCGGATGAAGATCTGTCAATAGGATAGCTGCAGGTAGCAAAGTCTTGCTAAGTAGGTAGGTATATAAGCTTGACTTACTGGGATGTGCAGGTCTCCTACATATAGAAAAGACCCAGTTCTGCCAAGAGCAGAACCATTCTGAATAAGCACATCATTAGGATCAGCATTTATTGTACATATTTAAAATCCCAATGTCATAGTGATGCTACATGACTCAGCAAAAATGCCAAGACTGACTAATGTAGTTCACATCACTCAAGGCAGTGTACCTTAACCTCCTGATGGAACCATGCTGCCAGCGGCATAGGAAGGGGAGCAGTTGTGAAAACTGCCAAGTACTGGAAGCTCTCACTCCCTTTCCCTGAACTAGCAATTAAAAAATGCCCTGAAGCAAGTAGACTAATAGTTCTAAATTTAAAAAATCCAAATGCTGATGTAGAAGCCTAATCTTATGTAGGTGGCATTTTTCAACATCATGATAATGGCTAGTTAGCAAGATTATTCTGAGGGGTAGGGAGAACCAAACTCAGGTGTACCTGCACTTCTTGCCTCACACCAAGTGCACACTTATGCCACAGGTGCCTGTGTGGCATTGTCAAAGGACAATATGCCCTATGTCACCCTTTCACATTTCTCTGCTACATGTTTACATTTCCCATGTGACAAAGGAAGACCCAGAACAAAGAGTACTGAACAAAAAAGTAGATAAGAATATGGATAGTTGGAAACCTCTTGTCATGCACATTTGCTTATGCTCCTCCACATATGTAAGAAATTGACTGTACAACAATATAAACATTAGTTCTATGCATTTAAATATAGTTGTTGCTATTTGAAGATTTTAAAAATATGCCACAAAATTAATTTCCATGTTATTTGGGGCAGCAAATTGATAACAGGCATATCCAGCAAAAGATACTCAAGTGGAAACATTAAAAATCCAGATTCATTTGTAATATTTTAGGAACATACTATTACATTTACATCTGTATTCTGCCCTATATCCAAAATGTCAAGCAAACATTGTGTTTAAAACCAGACAGAAAAACAAATCTTAAAGGGCAGTGAATTAAAATAATGCCGCCAAAGGACTCTAACAACTTCCTTCTCTATTACCAAGTATCAAAGAGAAATGCTATACTTTCCACCAGAAAATACTGTAATGAATGACCACAGGAAAGAAGCTTCATAGCTGTGGGCCAATCTCTCTTGACAGAACTCTTCTGGTTAAATATCACACCCCACTACAAATGCAAGGCAAGGAAGTCGTGCCCTGCATGTGCAGAAGGAACTGGGAGCTGACACAAGAGCAGTCTTGAACAATCAGAACACTGAACAATTGTTCTGAAGAATCCTTGTTGGTGGTGATATGTTGTAACGGTCCACAGCAATTACCAAAGCTTGGACTTTTTTTTTTTTTAGTGCTGGGTACTGAATTATGGCTGCTCAGGTTGGCTGAACTAAAAACAAACCTGTTCAGACAGCAGCTACATGAAGATGAATTCCCTGTGGCATCCCTGATTACAACAATCACCTTGTGTCATTTATGGTAAGGTTATCACGTTACTATCATGTCCACTGTGATAGATTCTAGTTGGCTCTCCTTCCTCTAATCCAGAGGTACCTAACCTGTGTCCCTCCAGATGCTGTTGGACTAGTCAACTGGCAGGGACTCTGAGAGTTGTGACTTAACAACTGGATAGCCACAGGTTAGCCATCCCTGCTCTAACATATCAGAGACAAACAATGCAGAAGAAAAACAGATTTTGCTTATAAGATTGCAATTATTAACACATTTAAATTTAAAATTTTAAATCCCATTGAAACCACACACAGAAGAATATAAAACTTACTTTGATGGATACAAGTCCTTCTTGTCTGCTGATCCAAGGCTCTGGAAGACATAAAAGGATTCAGTTAAGTCCTACTTTCTCCCCAGGTTCATGGAACACACAAAGCAAGGCATTACACAGTTGGGGCATTACACAGTTGGGGCAGGTAGCTGTTAAGCTTTTATCATTAGTTCTTTGATTCACTTGTGTCACAAATAAATGACAATAAATGAGACATTAGGGTGCTCTCATATGAGGATTTTAGTGCCTATGGTTGAATCAGCATATCTGACATATGCAAAGCATGAGGAGAATGTGCCAATACCTGTGGCCTTATAACTGCAAGTCCGAGTTGTTGACTAGAGACTAGCAGGATCAGCATGAGATAAAAAAATGGTAAACCTGCAAGGGGAAGGGGTGTAGCTGAGGGGAAGAGCATATATTTGCATGCAAGGAGCTTCATTACCTTGCATTATCAGTGTAAAGAGATTTTAAGAAACTGTTGCTAGGAAAATTGTTGTCTGAAACCCTCTACTAGTCAGCAGAACCATTACTAGTCAACAGACATACACTACACCAGACAGAACCAATGATCGTATTCAGTATAAGGTTTGAATAATTCCATGATTTATGCATTTGATTCAGTACGAATTATCACCTCTTCTTTGAGCTTCTTCCACTTCTGGATTTAGTGCTACAGTGTGAATCTAGCCATGAGGGAATCTCCCTTCTTCACAAGTCCCAAGTCTTAGTTATTCCTAACTGTATGTTAGACCTACTACAAGTCCAGCCTTGTTTTGGTGCTACCAGCAAAGTCAAGCCTCCTATTTCAGTTACTGCATAATTGCCAGTACCTCAACTGCACCTATCCTATAGGAAATGGGGTACCAAAATCCATGCCAAGCAAGCCACCTTGTTCACTCCAAATGTTTCTCAATGCACTGAAAGGGAAGGCTGAGTGGAGAGACAGGAAATCTTGAAAATGCTACAACCATAAAAGCAAACATGGCTGCCAAGCGCAAACTATACTGAATCACTAGCTAAATTAATGCACTTTCTTCAAGCACTAAAAACTGTCAGAGACCTCAGACATGAGCAACCCAGTATGTCTGCAAGGTTGGGAGAGATTCCCATGAGGTAATCTACCCAAAGTGAAACTCATCCATCATCTTTTTGCAGGCTGACATCACAATGCCCAAGTAACTTAAGTCTTTGATAGAACCTTCAACTGCCAGTCAAATAATGTATATATTTCTAAATGCAAACCCCAATTGGGAGTCCAAAAAGAGAACATGACAGATTGAATTCCTTGGAGGCCTAGCAATTTGCATACACATTAACCATTCATTTGCAAAGAAGTAACAGTTCACTGTGGACTCAGCAAGCTGTTACTCCCAGTTTGAGTTATGAGGATGTACTAGGTGTATACACACATCTGTGCACTTCCTTTTTGTGCACTTTCTAAAACAAGCAGAGATAGCAAAATCACAGCAATTTAAGTTTGAAAGAATGTGCCTGGGTACCTGTGATATATAAAAGGTTTATATTCTTTATCTTTGGCAACCTGTGTCAGTCACAAGAGACAGCTGATTTGTGGTGCACAGAGTCATACATCTTTAACCTCTACCTACAAATGAAACCAGGGTGACGTGGGTGGCGCTGTGGTCTAAACCACAGAGCCTAGGGCTTGCCAATTGGAAGGTCACGGTTCGAATCCCAACGACGAGGTGAGCTCCCGTTGTTCGGTCCCAGCTCCTGCCCACATAGCAGTTCGAAAGCACGTCAAGTGCAACTAGATAAATAGGTACCGCTCCGGTGGGAAGGTAAACAGCATTTCCGTGCGCTGCTCTAATTCACCAGAAGTGGCTTAGTCATGCTGGCCACATGGCCCGGAAGCTGTCTGCGGACAAACACTGGCTCCCTCGGCCAGTAAAGTGAGATGAGCGCCGCAACCCCAGAGTCGTCCGTGACTGGACTTAACAGTCAGGGGTCCCTTTACCTTTACAAATGAAACCAGGGAGCAACTGCTCCCAATGAAGTTTCATTATGGTTGTTGTCTTTGTAGAACTCACCAGAGAGGATAATAGTAGTAGTAGTAGTAGTAGTAGTAGTAGTAGTAGTAATAATAATAATAATAATAATAATAATAATAATAATAATAATTTATACCCTGCCCATCTAGCTGAGTTTCCCCAGCCACTCTGAGTGGCTCCCAATCGAGTGTTAAAAACAATACAGCATTAAATATTAAAAACTTCCCTAAACAGGGCTGCCTTCAGGTGTCTTTTAAAAATAGGATAGCTGCTTATTTCCTTGACATCTGATGGGAGGGCGTTCCACAGGGCGGGCGCGAAGGCCCTCAGTCTGGTTCCCTGTAACCTCACTACTCGCAATGAGGGCCAGAAGGCCCTCGGCACTGGATCTCAGTGTCCGGGCTGAACGATGGGGATGGAGACAAAACTAGAATGTGTTGGTTCCACCTGTCATTGGTTCCAGCTCCAGGCACTTTTGGTCTCTTTGCTTTCCACCCCACCAGGCACCACTATTTGATGCATCAATTCTCTTCTGCTGAACACTATCTACTCTGCTTGTGAGAAAGAAGTTTGGGAGGAAATGTTTCCCCAGAAATAAGCATACCAGAAATAAACATGCAGCTGTACAAAGGCCATGCCCCTGTTGCCCTGAGAAAGGTGGCTTACTGTTATTTGACCTGAAGATTTACGGGAAAGAATGGGGGAAAGTCAGAAATAGGAAAGCAAATCTACGCCTAGCAAGCTCACTTCCAGAAGCTTATTGAATATTCTCACCAACACATACTTTACAGGGTGGGAGGAGTAAAAGAGGAAATATAAAACAGATAGACCAAACCTTAGTTCAGGAAGCCCAAATGTTCCAAAAGACCTAAAGGACCTTCTTGTGCATTCAACCTGTAGTTCTATTCTCTCCTTGTTTTAAGTGCCCATGTGCCTTCTTTTAATCCTTCTTTGCCTTGCAGGAGAAAGATGAGGCTGAGAGTTACTTGCAAGCAGCATGTTTGCACTCCAGAGCTGCTGTTGTACTTTTACATTGTGGTTGCCAGGCAATGGCTACAAGCTGACTCCAAAGCAGTAGGCAGCAACCAGGCAGAATACTAATCAATGGAGCAATAAACCTGCCCTCCCCAAGGCTCACAAAAATGAGACCTGCCCCCTAAAACAGCAGCTTAAGCAGCTAAATCTTTAAGATTACCTATGTGCAAAGTAAATTGAAAAGCAAAACCTCAGGCTTCTATTCTGGAGGAATAGTAAGCTTGTGGGCAGGCCTGTGGGGGTTGTTGGGTTTTCAAAAATCATCATTTGTGTAGCATTTGTGTAGCATTGAGTTTTCCTGTAAGTGAACAGCTTCTTACAACAATTGCAAATGAGGCTAACATTACACTAACATTACACCTCCTTATTTGTGCACTATGCAATTGGTGTGGGGGAGGAGTTTATTGGTGACAAAATCTGCCAACCTGCTCACTAAACCGGACCTTCAAAAGTACTTGGGAGATACAGGCAACAGGTGCAGTACAATCAACAATATTGGAGGGGGCCAGTCTGAGGAGGTGGTAGAGGTTGATGGATCAGCATCCCACAAAGTAAACTCAAGGCAAATTCCACAGGCTGCAGCCAGTACTTGTTCCATCACTTTTCGGTCGCTCTGAAATTTTTATTCCCTTACAAAAGAGGTTTCTGCTTTTCTGCCTTATCCACAGGCCACTTTAGAATTTTGGTAGGTGCAGGCTTGAGTGTACAGCTGCAGCCTCCCTGGTTGTCCACACTTCCATCCCTGGTTGTCCACATCCCCTCAGTAGGGTAAGCACAACAAAAAATATTGTCTTCTACCTATATGAATTTCAATGAATTGTTTTTGCACAATAGAGAATTATCTAATGTAATTTGTTTTGTCATTAATAGACAAGAGAATCACTGAGTGGGGCAGCAAACACAGAGAATAATTTTTTGACGTAGAAGTGGACATGTAAAATGGCAATTGTTAATCAATGCTCCAACCCTCCATGTAACACGTTAAAACACATACTGAAGGCTCAAGTTACAATACCTTGTTTCTTTTCTTTTCTTTAAACAAATTTTTAAACTTTTCCAACATAAAATATAATTTTTGATGGATGTGGAAAACTGATTTGAATGGTTATAGTAAAATATGCAGAAAAGTATGATATGTAAATGAACCATGGAAGGAGAAGTTTGTAAAGTTTGTAAAATGTTTATTTTGAAATATAAAAAAACTTAATAAAAATTATTATTAAAAAATTATTACAAAATATTCAAAAAAATGCACTACAAGAGAACACCAGGCTATATTATATAGCTGCTTTTCAATCTGCTAGGTGTTGGTTTCTTGATCTTCCATCCCAGGCATCTCAGGTTCACTTTTTCCCACTCAAAAAGTCCAGAAGTAGCTCTTGAATTATTATTATATTATTATAATAATAATATATCCAAGATGGTCCTTTTCCAGTCCAATGTGATAAATTTCTCTCCAATGATTCCTGCAGATCTTAATACTAGTCCTTCTTTCTCTGCTTTTTCCATCCCCCCCCCAACATCAGTTGTTAGAGGTTTAGAGGCTTCTTGTTGTAGATTTGGAGCTGGAAGGGAAATGGCCATCTCCACCATCTGCAATTGTCTCCCAGCTCCTCTGGTTGTAAATCCATTTATCTCTCCTGGCATGACAACAGCTTCCTTTGTCAGTCTTGGTCTTCTGGACAGCTGCAAAGACACACAGCCTGATCCATCATCAGCAGGTGTCTCCCACTCAGAGGTGTGAGAGGTGTCAGTTCCTTTTTGACACTGAGAGGTGTCAGTTCCTCTCTCTGACAGGTCTTGTGTATTCTCCAATCTGAAATTTCTCTGGTGCAATTTCTCTTGAAATTCTCCACACAGAGCTAAAATTTCCAGACTGGTTTAAGAGTCAATCTTTATTCCCAGGGAACTCTGGGAACAATAGTTCTTGCCTACCGAGCTCTGGAAAGGTCTCATAAGTTCTGGTGGGGCTGTCCAAAATCTTGCAAAGACCT